TTTCACTTAAACGCATCTACTTTTTTTACACATTTGTTCATTATAGAGAGGTTTTCTCCACTTTGGGACCGAAAAAAAGCGTTCACTATTCAGAGTTGGGAGGTGTTCATTATATAGAGGTCAATTTACAGCAAAAATTCATCGGGGGGACCGGAGTGTTTGTTCAAACAAGAGGTGTTCACTATATAGAGGTGTTCATTAAGGGAGGTTTTACTGTATTGTAAATATCATCTTTTGAAGGAAATAAATACGTGAGAAAATAAATTTTTACCAGGGGAATAAGAACTTCGTACACACCCTTTATATATATATATATATATGTGTCATTTTCATTCGAAATTAATCCTCGTTTTTTAAACAATCTTCTTCCTCATCATCAATCACAACAAAATATCGAATGAATTAATGATTATCAACAACAAGAACTTCTTTCTCTTGAACAAGCTTGTCAACCATTGGAAAATCTATTCGACAAAAGGAACTTCAGCTCTTATATACAGTGGTATGGAATTGATTAGAAAATAGTCTTCGTATTCTTCTCAGTCAAGTATTATGTTCTTTGGATAGAAATCAATTTCAACCATGGTCAAAATATCTCAAATTATTATTTATAGCATTTTTCAAGTTACCGTAAGTATACAACTACGTATATAGAAGGTATTACGCAAAATGACGCAATTCTTTTGTTAGAATAAGAGAAAGATACAGAAGTTCTTTTGATAAAGTCCAAACGACGTTATATCTAGGCATGCACCAATCCCGATTCCAAACAATCCGATTCCGATTCTAGAATCGGAATCGAATGGGATTGGTTGGAATTGGAATCGGAATCGAATGGAATCGGTTGGAATTGGAATTGGAATCGAATGGAATTGGTTGGGATTGGGATTAGAATCGAACGGAATTGGTTGGGATTGGGATTGGAATCGACCCATAGTTGGAATCGGGATCGAATGGGATTGTTTGGAATTGGAATTGGTTGGAACCAGCTGGGATTGACTGGATGTGATTTGAAACTAACGTGACATAGTTAAGAACTATGTGAGATCTAACAGGAAAATAATTCTAAATGCTTCTTGTTGCTGGAAATTTGTCTGCCATTAACGAAGACTGTCTGAAACTAGTATTGGTCTGAGTTAAAATTAGTAATCTATTTCAGTCTATCTCGGATCAATTCCAGCCAATTCTGGGTCAATTCCATTCGATTCCAATTCCAATCCTAACCAATTCCATTCGATTCCAATCCCAATTCCGACCGATTCCATTCGATTCCGATTCCAATTCCAACCAATCCCATTCGATTCTAGAATCGGAATCGAATCGAATCGGGATTGTTGCATGCCTAGTTATATCGAAGAAAATACTTACAAAAGTTCAATGCCTATATATAGGTCACCCGTAGCCAAAGGGTTAATAAGATACAATTGCACTGACGAGAATACCTTTTGAAGATATATTTCCCGTAAAATTCCATCGAAAGACCTCACGTATCATAGTTCATAAGGCAAATACGATAAGGTAAGGTATGCTAAATGTTTTCGTGCAAGGGCTCACACCACTATCTTCGCACACATCATATCCTGAAATAGCGTTACATCCACTACCTTCCATACAAGATTTTAGAAAGGATGCAGAAAAATATCTACTTCAGAAAGAGAAAAAAGAAGACGAACCTTAGTGAGTAAGGAAAAACTAACAACAGATTCACGTTTTCCGACTTCGAGCTCCCGTCGGTCAACCCTTATAGTGGGTAGGTAAGAAAGTTTTCGCGTTTTTTCTCAGATTTTCAGTGTTTTTTCTTTATCAACGAGAACTAGTTCTCATCTATGTATGCACCATCTGTTTCTATAACTTAACGCCAACGATCTGGAAGACAAAGGATCCCCTGCTCATAGGAGTCCGGAGACTTCCGATCCGAAAAAAGTTGCGAAAGCAGATTTTAGGTCGTTCTCGTCGTCGAACTTTTTCTCGCTCAAGTAGTTGGACAGAGAGCGAAACAAATGGTAGTTAGTGGGAGCAAAGTCCGGCGAATAAGGTAGGTGGCGTATGGTAATCCAACCGAGCTGCAATAACTTTTCACGAGTCAACTTTGCCACATGTGGTCTCGCATTGTCGTGGAGGAAGTAAATTCGAGCTTGTTTTCCTTTGAGTTTTTGGACAATACGACCCAGTTGTGCACAATAGAGATCAGCTGTGACTATGTAACTGTTAGGAAGAAGTTCCCAATGGATGATTCCTCACACGCCCCACTAGACCCTCGATATCGGCACGGCCAAGCGTTACGGAATTGCATTTTTTAAACTTGTGAGATCCATATTTTCTGAACAATAAGAGGGATCTTTATGAAACTTCGAATGTATATGAAGGTCAACTAGCTCTATAAACACAGAAAGTTTCATTAAGTTCTCTTTAACCGCAATGAAGTTATTTAAAAAACATGCTGCGTTACGGAATTTCAAAAAATGGACAAACACTTCGCAGGTCACTCATATCTGATCATTTTTCTACGAAACTAAACTAGCTACAGATAAACGCTTTATATAAAAGTTGTTCAGTTTTTCGCCAGCTATCAGAATAATAGGTCGTTTTTGCGGTATAAATTTGCCTTTGAACAGGGCAACTTAAAAGATTGACCGTTACGGAATTTCACCTTTTTTTGCGATCTCAATTCAGAAGGTTTGATCAACTGAATTTTTAATTAATTTTCCACCAAAAATGATAATTTTTATTGGAAAAGAGAGTTTTAAAGCATTTTTCTTTCGACTGAAAGGAGAGTTTTACGAAAAAAGTAGGTTACATGTTTGTGTCTGTCAGAGTTAAAGGTCAAAAGTCAAAAGTTTTAAGAAAATTTTTAAACTTTATAAAATATCGTTTGAGAGGGGTTTTGCGTCATCTTGAGGGCGAAAGCGATATTACAAAGCTTAGGGAAGTGTCAGAGATCCAGACTATAGGGATAGGTAATATTTCCTTAGTTTCAGCCTCGTCCGCATGGTTATCCCAGAGGACCAAATATTACAGAACATTTTTTGTGCGAACCAAAATTTGAGGACATTTCGTCAAGGCCATTTTCCACAGAACATTTTTACCATAATTCGAGAACACTGTAGTGGGATACTACGGGGAGAACCTTGAAATCCGCTATAAATTCTGCAAATTTTTTCAAAATCTGAGATATTATACAAGTGCCGTGATGGCAGCAGCTATGTTTTTCCCTAAAAATTGCCCTCAGCGTTAGCTCGAATGAACGGCTTACACCTCTAATTATGTATAGAACACGTATATTAGAATAATATCAATATAGATTTCTTGCTAGAATAAAACTTCTGTCTTCATTTCAAAGCACACTCATTATTCTACACTCTTAAATGAAATTCCGTAACGGAGTATTTTGAATCTAGATAGACAACAATAGCACTGATAATTAATAAAAACTAGTCCAATCGATAGCTCTCGAAAAGATCTATCAGCTGGTGTGATTTTCAAAACTTGAACTCGTAACGGTACAAAATGAAACATACTTAGGTCTATTTTCGTTACGGAATTTCATGAAAAATTGTGTAGTTTTGTAGTTAATAGATTTATTTATACGTCAGACAGATTTTTTTTCAAAGCTTGCTGTCTGAAAGTGCATATCTTCTTTTATAAATTTATGTAGTATTTTGTTCAATTCAACTCTTATATTAACACTTTTTAACCGTTAAATTATTGTGATCTGGAAATGTCACTATATGAGAGGTTCATCAAAGAGCAGAGTGGCGCTACTACCATTTAGAGATTACTTTTTCCGTTACTTACGAAACTTTTTCTGTACACTATGGCATGTACTCTATCCTAAAATATGCTTATTTTCCTGTGATGTTGAATTCGAACCTTCCCCAATGAAGGGGACCGATGGCTGGCCGTGCCGATATCGCTTTTTTGGGATGCGTGTCCATTCTGGGTGTTGCAACTCTAGTTTCACCGCTGTTAAGCCATTGCCGTCGGCGCGTACGGTTAACACAGAGCACTCACTTCTCATCTCCAGTGACAAGATTGCGCAGCCATTGATGATTGCGATGAAACGTGATTAAATCCATACACGTGTCCACCCTTGACTGAAGCTGATACGTCGATAATTCATGTGGAATCCATACCCCATATGTCCAGCTCTTGCCAAGATCAGCCAAATGTTTTTCTACTGTGATATGGGAGAACCCCAGCAGCGCTGCTAAAGCACGTGTCGTCAGTCGTGGATCTTGTTCGATCTGCTGCTTGAAAAGATCGATATCGACTTCGATAGGTCTTCCACACTTGGGTTGATCATCAAGTTCGTAATTCCCATTACGAAACCGATCAGACCAATGTTGTGCCATGCCGATGGACAGAAAACCGGGACCCATCGTACTGCACACAGTGAAACCTCTCTACAGTGGACACCAATGTGACCTTTCAAAAGTGTCCACTATAAGGTATCCACTATATAGAGGTAAGGTGTTTTGTAAGGCGGCTCTTTGGTAAACACAAAAAACGTTTTGTAGAGACATAAAGGAACCTAGCTGACAGTACAGAATGTTACTGCTTATCACCACTTTTTTTAACGTCTACTTTTGCTCTCGAGAACTGAAATATCGTCGAAATCTAGTTGAATTTTTCTTGTGAGCAACAATAGATTTTTCAAAAATCTTCGTTGTATAAAATTATATTCAAGTGTCCTTTATATAGAGATTCATTTACTGCGAAAAGTAACATTCGGGACTTTAAAACTGTCCACTATACAGGAGTGTCCGCTATGTGAGGTTCTACTGTAATGTTTTTTTTTCGGTAATCTTGGTAGAGTATATAATATGGTTAAATTGTATGATCAAGCTCTAGAATATTATCAGAAAACTTTAATTATTTAAGAAAAACACAGCAATGCATATTATGACTTTATATCGAAGTCATACGCGAACCTTAGCAATACTTATTTCTTAAAGGGAGAATATGAAATGACGTTGAAGAATTGTCAACAAGCAATTGAAAAAAATACATCAAAGCATTTATTTCAGGATTCACTGCTTCATTATGGTGCGCTTGCTGAAGTGTATTTTACAATGGGGAATTTCGAAAAAAACGGAACGTACGTGTCAATTAGCATTAGAAAAAGAAAAATCTTTTCTATTTAGGATTCGATCGAAATGTATCAGATTCATATTTGAATGATGAAACATTAATCAATTTCGAAAAAGCAGTTTGCAGAATTCATCAATGCAAATCTACAAAGTATGAAGTCGAGAGTGCTGTATATAAAAATATCAGGGAGTTATACAAGAAAACCAGTAGTGACAAACTTGAACGTTAATTTCAACTATTTACGATATTTTTAATTCAATTTTAATACACCAAAACTGACAAAATGTATTTTTTAATAAAAATAATCATGTACATCCATGAGTTTTCTGAAGAAAATGGGATAAAATACAATTAAAGCAATGATTTAGTTATTTATTAATAATTAAATTCTGAAATAATTCATCGACTATTTTACTATGTGTATGAAATTGATGTTGTTAGTTTGAATATGATTTTATTTCATAATAATAAGGGTGAAGTATAAAAATACTTTCTCATTAATAAATAGAAAAGACTTTGAAAATCGTTTTCGTTTCGCATAAGGATAAGAAAAAGAAAATTTGTCAGTTGATCTATTAGATACGCGATATATTTTCCTCTGAATAGTTTCGATAGAAATCAAATACAACACATAGAAAAAGAAGTCAGACAATCTATATAGAAGTTTCTATTTATAAAGATAAAAAGAAAGAATTCGAGACAACAAGCATCATCCACTTCGACTGCTCTTATATGACTTATACGAGAATTTATTTCTCATGCGCAATTTCTTACAAATATAATTTATCTTCAAAGTTCAACAACGAAAGATCTCGTTTTTCATATAATGTCACGTCAAAGATCAAAGTGCGTTATCTTTTGATCTTTAACTATCTGTCATTACTTGAATTTCCATTTCATTTGGATTGACTCGATTCTTTCCACATCGATTCGTATAAGTCTCATAGAAAACATATTTTGCTTGACGACGAAATCGTTTCGACACACAAATATATGTAAAAAACGAGTTCTAAACAAATTAACAGACAAATTCTATTTACATTTATGTCATCTGTACTTACTCCATTACTGATTGTAAATATAGCCAGAGTAACTGCATTTATTAAATTCAATTGTGCAAGAAGAATTGGATCGCGGTTTGTATTTAATGATGAAAATCCATTGGAAATGGCAAATGGGAGATAAGTGCAAATGTAAACACATACTTCTACAAGAACCATCACGGTCAGTTGTTTGTCCAATTCTCTTCGAACGACTGGATTTGTTCGAGTTGCCAAACTTCGGGCATTTCGAAAAGCCAACACAGCAAATATTGCAGAAACCAATGGAAAAAAATTTCCATATGTGAAAAAGTATCCATAAATATAATACTGAACGAAAATCTGATTTGTTGCAATGCACGTTGCCGTATTGGACAATGCTAATTGATTGAAATAAATAAAGAACAGCGATGCGTGAAAAGCCCAAATAATTGTAATAATCAATACGAGACGATGAGCGAATTTGATATTCGACCATCGCTGCCATTGTGGACGAGCGCTTGTCGCGAAGTATTGATCAATCACTGCTAAACATAATGTTGTTATTGCGCCCAAATAACACAAACCGATAATTGAAGTTCGAAGTTGACAATAATACAGCAAAACAGGTGTCCAATTAATTGGAAAAGCTGTTGAGATAATAATAAGGGATGTGCCGAATACCAGTCGAATAAAGTTAAACACTGACATTATCATCAGATAGAACGCGCAGGAACTTTGTCGAAAAGTTTTGAGACTGAGAAAAACAATAATACTGAACAATTCACTGATCGAACAGAGAATACAGATCGGAATTGAAACATATGTAGCAAATTGTGAACGGATATAAAAGAGCAAAGCAATGTATTCTGAACTCATGACGAAGAAATAATGAGAATGAAGAGTGTAATACGTGTTATAGTATGAAAAGGAGCGCGTAGATTTTCTTTTGATTTGAATAATTAAACGAAGAGAAGTCTTTGTCTTTCCTGAATACAGAAAACGAGTTATTAGAAAATAATCTCATATTTTTTATGCTTATAATTAAATCATGCCATTTGGAAATGGAGCTAAAAGTCATGTTTGAAGTGATATTATTTCAAGGTTGTTCATCATTTTCTATTGGTTGACAAACTATTCAAATAAAAAACAGAGAAAAGAAAGAGCCTTCCAAGAGAAAAAAGAGCATCCAGGTTTGAAAAGAATTTCATTTGAGTTGTATCAGAATGTCTGATTTAATAATGAATAGAACATTGAACTCGAAGCGAAATATTCGATTAATTAATAGATTTTATTAAGGTCTCACAAAGAAGGATCATTGTTAGTGGATGATCAGTCAAGTCGGAAGTCGTTTAAAAACAACTTAGTGCCAAAAGACATTAACCGATGTGAAAGTAAAGAAAGAATGTGAACATTTTCCCTACAGATTCAATAAATTATTAAATAAAACAAAGCATGGAGAAAGTCGAAATTTTTCATACAAAATATATTTCGCTTGACGACGAAACTGTTTTCACACACGGATGTATGTGAAAAACGAATTCTAAACAACAAAGGAAAACGATGAATTCTCTTCAATTCAACACAAGTTTACCTACTTCACTAGTTAAAGCAAATGAAGTGATAGTTATTGTATTCATCAAGTTCGGTTGTGTGAGAAGGATTGGATCACGATTGATATTCAGCAAAGAAAATCCATTAGATATTCCAAATGGTATAAACATTAGAGTACAAACACCGATTTCGACAAGAACCATCATGGTCAGTTGTTTATCCAATTCTCTTCGATTTAGAGAATTGAAATTTTCGTAAACATGATATTGAAGAAAAAGAGCATTTGATGATACACAAGTAGTTGTACTTGAACGAGACATATGATTGAAAAGGATGAAAAACGGTATTGCGTCAAGAAAACAAAGAATTGTTACGATTGCCATAAGACGATGAGCAAGCTTGATATTCGACCATCGCTGCCATGACGAACGAGAACAAGTGACGAAAAATTGATCAACCACTGCTAAGCATAAACTTGTTATTGCACCTAAGAAACACAAACCAAAAATCGCAGCTTGAGCTCGACGGTAGAATGTTATGAAAGGTATCCACTTGATTAGAAATGCTGTTGAGATAACAATGAGTGAAGTGACAAAGACCATGTACTGTGAACTCATGATACTCTTGAAATGAATAATTAAAAGCGATAAACAAGGCTTCTTCTATGAACTGAATGTATGTAAATTAGAAACAAACGTTTTGTGTTTTTATCTTTGTAATCGGGTCTTATTCATCAGAATTTGATTGCAAGTGACATATCAATTAGATAGTTTTATTGCTCTCTCTTATTGATCTTCAAAGTTCCGTAATTGATAATGTCTGAAATAAGGGAAAATAATAGTTTGTTTTGCGATTGCGCAAAGGCATTTGTCTGAACGATAGTTTGCACTTTAATGAAGAGTTTTTCTGAAGTTAGAATAATGATAAAAGTATAGAGTATGATGACTAGTTCAATTAAATAGAATTGGTTCATTGAAATAAAATCTGTTAATTCTAAAGCCATTGAACACATGATAAAACAAGTTCGGCACACATACTTCTAATTTCTTTAGGCTGTGATCATCAAGTGATTTTATAGATATATGACGTCTTCAGAAAAGATGGAGAGCAAACAGTGCACAGGCTTGTTTTAGAAAAAGTCAAATCAATCTCACCCTGGGACTTGCTAACATCACGAGATTCGCTCGGGCAGTTATAAACTTCGCGCATTTCGAAAAGCCATCACAGCAAATATCACTGAGACAAGTGAGCCGTGTTTGAAGATGATAATTGCTCGATATAAACGGTGAGGATGTGCGACTAAAGAGCAAACGAATGAAATTATTTGACATCGTCATTAAATAATTGGCACTTGAACTTTATCGAAATGTTTTCAAACTGAGAAAATCACGACTTATGGATAATTCAGAGATGCTGCAAACAATACAGGTTGAAATCGGATGTGAAAAGAGAAGCGATATACTCTGAACTCATTTCATTTTTGAGACATGGTGTTTTTCTTCTTATAAAGTGCAGAGAAGTCCCTTTGTTTTGAAGAGACATAAAGCGAAGTAAAATAATTTATCATGCTTTATCGAGATAATCATTTCTCTCTAGGAATAGAATGTCCATCTCTACAGATCAAAAATTTATTTTGCTTAAGAGTATTCACGCATTTCTTTTTATGTTTAATCAATATGCACAATTAAACACGATCGTTGGTTTTCATTCTTTTTTATGACGAAATCAGTTCTACTGAAACCACTGAGTACTTAATTTCCTTTTATTTTTTATTATCCTACTTTTTCTCATGATGACATTTATTTTCCACCGGAAGATTCAAAGTCACAGATTCGAACATAACTAATGAATATTTTTTCTTTCCCAGTGTCGTCTTTAATTCAATTCAGACTTGTTGTTTTCACTTAGAAATGAGAAGATATACAAAGAGAGAATTACAATTAAGTGGAATATGGTCAGAATTTATTACAGTAGACGATCAAGAACGATTAACCATTTACGTTGCGAAGAATAATTCAGTTATTACGATATTTCGCAAATGTATTTTCTTGAAAAAAAATCAATTCATTTCCTACAAATATGTACGTCGTTTCATACAGAACTTATAACGGCTCAGAAGAATTGCAGAGAGTGACGATGAGATGAATCACTGAATGAATCTACTTTGTACTTCCGATACAAACAGACAAATCAAGACGATAAATGTCTTCATTTTTATCATGAAACGTTGTATTCGAAATTGAAAATGATCAATTAAATATCGGTTATGCGTTCGATTCTGTTTCTTTTTCATGATTTGCAGAAAAGGTCCTAATTGACTCGGTAAAAAAAGTGAAATTTTCCGTGTACTTTGTTTTGCACATGATAATTTTGTTATGGTTGAATAATTGATGGTATTCGGATGAAAGGTAAAAATTATAAATGATCGAATTTTTCTCTTCCGTTCTTTCTTTTTTACTTGTTTTTCTTCTCAATAATTTTTTCTAAAGACATATGCTTAAATAATATCGATTTGAATTTATTTGCATTGTTCACTTGGTCGCTGTCAGCTTAACGATATTTTTATGCACGAATCGATTCGAAAATTTTAGGAACACACAACAGCCATTTTGAATGCGTATCGAATATTTTTGTCTACGATGGAAAGCTTTGGTATTGCGAATTTTATAAAATATCAAAGACAATCGATCCTGTCAGTTTCTAGTTGGTCTGGCAACGTAAATTGTATTCTTATGCGATCCACATAAAGTCTGATAAGGCTATCCAAAGGGGAAAGAATGGAGCCTTGCAATCTGGAAATTTATCAAAGGAATTTGGTAGAACCTTGAAGTTCTAAGATATCGAATGGAATCTTTTAGAATCATAATTTAAAAATTATTTATCAGTCTTGTATTAACATTGTATTGGAAGGAACGATACCGAGATAGCTCAGATATCTTCGTATATTATAAGCATAAATTTTAGTCGATCTCTGAATGAACGATTAGCATGTAATTCATTTTCAAATGAAATTGTGGATTTGACTGTTGATAACTATATTCGTACCTTAACAGATAGCTTCAACTATTTTCTCTCATAAACTGCATCCTCTCACATAATTGTTGCTCCTTTACGGACTATAAACTTCAAGCAAAGAATATGTTGCCACAATATACAACAACCGAAAGAAAATGTGATTACATAAACATACAAAGACACTGAAAATGATTATCTCATAAGCTTTAGAAGCTGACTGCAGGTTTGGCAAGTATATAAGGCATTTGAAGAAATACTAAAACTCGACATTGAAACTGTATACAGGTCCAAGGAAATATTTTAGTCGGAATAGGTTTCTGTCGAGGGAGAGATAAACAAACATAATTTTCAGATAGTGTACAATATTTGACTTTTCGAGTAATTATCCGATTCCACTATGTTAGGCATCTGAGAATATCTTCCAAGAGAGTTTGGGATATGAAAACGTACTCAGGCAGAATGTCTCAATCGATAAGATTGATTTTTAAATCATAACGTCACATAATCAGACATATTTTCGAAATTTTTTCAACGGAATCCCGAAGTAGATTCGAGAATAATCAGATAATCAAAGAGAATGGAATCTCATTATAAGTTAAAAGCGATTTATTTTAGATATCGAAACAGTACGAAAATGTTGCGATGTAATAACCTTGACATGACGTCTTTATTACTGAAACTATGCCGGTGTGAGCCAAGTAAGTAGAAATTCTTACTTTAAATAAAACGTCATAGATTTTGTTTCTTTTGAAGCTTTAAAATGTCAACAATGTTCATACGTTAAGACTATTATTCCGCAACGATATGACGCGGACAACCCGAACGAACTTCCATGGCCTGTTAGTCTATATATAGATCCGTACGACCGAATTTTTATTGTCGATAAAATGTGTGATCGAGTCCTCCTGATGGTTGCTCAGGATGACATCTACTCAGCTGCTATAGCTGGAGATACTGAAAACACCAAAATTTATGATCGACTATTTTGTCCCACCAGCGTCTACTACGAGGAAGAAAACTATTCTTTAATTATTGCCGACGCTGGAAGCCGACGGATCATCCGTTGGTTATTTACTGAAGGTTCAATACGTCGACGCTTCAAAGCCTGGTGGAAAAATACACAGTGCGAGACACTCATTGAAGACATTGACTGTTTTGGAATAGCAGTCGATGACCGCGGATTTCTTTATGTGGTTGACTCCGTCAAGGGTCAAGTGACCAGATGGCCTTTGAGAGGGGTCAGCGGTCTATTAAAACTAGGTGTGCATGGTAAAGTGGTTGCTGGCGGTAATGGCTGTGGCAATTGTCTTGATCAACTCAACAATCCGTCATACATCTTTGTTGACCAAGATTATTCAATCATTATCTCAGATACAGGAAATAATCGTATCATGATATGGTTCGAAGGTTCTCCATCCGGAAAAACTCTCGCTGGTGGCCGAGGAAGAGGAAATAAACTAGATCAATTAAGTTCTCCTCAAGGAATAACTTTTGACAATTTCGGTCGTGTGTACATCGCAGACGCCGGCAATAGCCGAGTAGTGCGTTGGACTCCAGGCGCTACAGAAGGAGAAATACTTGTGGATAGTTCTGCAAGTAAAGATGAGTTTAACCAAGTGACTGATCCTCGTGGTTTCGCATGGGACAATGAAGGCCATCTCTATGTCGCCGATGCAAAGATTGGACGAATTTTAAAATTTAAAATAGATGATTCTTGAAAACATGTTTCGTTTTAATAAAAAGAGCAAAATCGATTTTTAGCCTTTTGTTGTGTTTTATATTTAAGATTACTCCGAGATAAAACGTAAATCATCAAGATATTTTTTCAATTTCATTTCTTGGTAACAAATCGTCTTTTTTCTCTTGACAATAGTCATCAAAACAAATAACGCCTACCATATGTGATTCTCTTGACTCAATTCTTTTCACATTGCTTTTTGGTTTCGATGAGTTCAAGAGTTAGCGTTCGTGACGGATCACTCGACATCAAACTAGAGAACAATTTTTTACTGCAAATATGAAGTTGACAGCAAGCCGACTAATCGGCACCGACATAGAAATTATTAGTTTGGGCACCCAGGACGAACGTTCCGGGCAACGGATTCGAACAGAACCGAAAGAAAAGCAGCCCTTTTCCGGCTCGTTCTGAGCCGTTCTCCACATATCCTCACGGAAAAAACTGTAATACCGCCTAAATCCGATAAAACAGAACACCACATAAAACAGCAGGACCCCAACATAACCCTACAGAAGCAAAATAATACTGTAAACGCCAAACCGTTTCCCGCATATTTCTCAACAAATCCGCACTCTTCCCGAACCACACCACATATTCTACAGTTTCCAAAAAACCAAGAACCACCCATAACTGCAACGAACCCATCTGAACCCGAGAAACGTAGCCCGCCGTAAACAAACATAAAACTACAAATCCCATCTTTTCCAACTCCTTTCCGGGATCACTATCGATCTTCCAGCGAAAAACTGACCCAAAAAATACCAAAACAAGACCCAGTAGTTGGAGGATTGCTAATTCGATTGCAATCCAGGCTGCAATCCTGAACGAAAAAGTCACGTGGAGCTAGTTGCAGATCCTGGGAAGGTTTCTACTAGTTTATGCTTTTGCTGATACGAATATGGATTCGGATAGTACCAGATCGTGGGTTTTTGTTAGTATGGGATCTTATCTTGTATTGGCGTTCGATTGGTGCGTTTAGTGAATATTTCGGATTTGTTCAGTTTTGGTAGTTTCCGTCAGGTTATGGTATGTTGGAATGTTACGGAAGTTCAATTGGAGTTCCCTACTTTTCTGTTTGGTTAGTGCCGGATCCGCACGGATTTTAACCGGTTGAATCTGTTCCGGAATTCTGCTTCCATGAAAAGTACGGAAAAATTTGGCACGGGACGGTTCCCGGCCGAATTTTTCGACCTGGGCAGATTCAAAAATGGTAGAGTCCGACGGACTCTATTTCCCATTTTCACTCTTACTCTAAAGATGGAGCTTATTGAGAATTCTCTCGCATACTCTGGAAATTTCGAGAGAGCTGCGTAAAATATATGCATAAATGCTCGTAATTCTGAGCCTTGGCTCTAAAACATTTTTTTCAGTTCTTGAAGAGTGCTTTTTTCGGAAAATTTTCTAGATACCATTCGCACCTGTTTAGGTTTCGATTTATGTATTAATCTATTTTTCTCGGATTCCAATGAAGGCATGCTAGCTAGTATGAGCTTAGCCATCCATGTAGAAGAGAGATATGTGCTCCAGTCCTGCCGTTGCATCCTATCGAATCAGTTTCGATGATTTTTCTTGTTTTACTACTCTAAAAATTCTCTTCCGCCTCAAAGAAAGATTGAGTATTTAGCTGTAGTTGACCACAAAATATCAGAAAAACAATACAAAAGAAATGGTTTTTGCCGCAGCTCGCGGAAGAGGATCCAGCTTTTTCGTCCTAACTTTTTTCTGTTGAGGCCATCTTTTACAATCAGAAGGACATTCTCAACTTTCGTTAGAGCACTGAGCTCTTTTGTTCAGCAATTTTTTCTGTTTTGTCATAGTAGTTAGCACATTTTTTTGAACTCCCCAAAAGAGGGTGATCCGTCAAAAAGTCAAACGAAAACTTTTTTGTACAAGCGAAATTTCAGTTTTATTGAGAACATTTTGAGCCATGCGTAAGACAGGAAAGTCTCACTCAAACAGATTTTGTTTCAAGACATGTTATTGGACATGGTGTGAATTGTTAAGGAGCAGATGGACCTAACACATAAGCAAGTTCTTCTGGAAAATACTCAGGACATCAGACTAGCTTCTTAATTTTACTAGGAAAAATACATGGTATACACATAGACACTGACTACGAAACAATGAGTCTATGATACACGAAACCATAGCGCAGAAAATTTTACTTTTATACAAAGCACACTACCTTGCTCAATAAATTAGATTCTTTTTCTTTTTCATCTAAGTGTTATACTGGAAACTTTCGAAGTGTCTCTTCCAGACAGATGCACTCAATTTGTTTGAAATATCTGATTTCTGCTTTTGATTTATTACTTGTAGATTTTCTCATGTCTTGCCTATTCAATGAAGTTACTCCCCCTTTTCTACGTTTCATGGCGTTAAAAAATTTATTTTTCACTTTTGAATGTGCGAATATCATCGAAAACTATTAACATTTCTGTACGGATTCGAAAAAGTTCATATAATTCCTAGAAAGGTTTGAAGTGTAACATCGTTTGTCGATATCTGAATACGTAAGAATATTTAATATTATGGCGATATTTGAAATGAAACGACTGCCATCATCCTAATAGAACCCGAATTCATTTTGTGTAACCTGTCCCAGAAGTAAGCGTCCTAGTCGACGAATGATATTTGGCTTATGTGATTCCGGTCGTGTTTGTGGTTCGGGTTGTGGTTGCGATGGTGTCGAAGCCCACTGTTCGGTAGTTACTTCCGAGGACGGTACAAAGAATCTCGCGATTCTTCGCCATCGTCCTCTCCGTGTCTTAACATATGTGGGATATTCTGCTGGCATGTTGTAGCTAACGATGTTTCTTTGCCCATGTCGTGTGCTGCCTGGTGTGGCTTCGTGTGGTTCGTCGTTAGCGTCAATTAGTGAATGAGGGTGGGCATCTTTTATCTCTGTTATGTAGCCAACAGATTTAGATCTTTGTTTTCGTAAAATATTTGGTCGCGAATGCCCACCATCACCGTCGTCGCTTGCTGTATCATCCCACATGTAACCACGGGGAGCACTTCGACGTTCGTATGCTAGAGCCTCTTCTTTTTTTCGACGCATGTAGTCGACGAGAGGCTCACCAACAATTGGTGTTTTCTGAAAAGCGTCTCGAGATAGATGCGTCATGGATGCGTCGGATCTAGAAATTGTCTCTGGATGGTGGCTGCTCTCCACTGGAAATCGCTCTCGGTCCTCTTCGTTTTCTTCCGTGATTTGCGTAGATGTACTTTCCAGTATGATGGAGCTTGACGTGTGAACATATGGGCTCTTATCAACAGATGTATCTAAACATCGGGAAGAGTTTTCAAAAGCGTTGCTGCAAACCTTGTCTCTATTACCCACCGTGTGAAAACGGCGGTCGTGGACGAGTACCAGGCTGAATTTTTATACCGCGCGCTTGCAATTGTTTGACTTGCTCCATTACCGCTTGTTGTGCTTTCAATGTTTCGATTGCGCGTGGATCAATCTTTTGATCCTTAATAGAAGTGGTATCAGATGTGATTATAAATTCTTCGCCCTCAAGATGTTACCATGATTTCGGGAATAAAACGTTCTTTTGATTCTGTCTCTAATGAAGAATCCTGAGGAGTAGTAACGAATGAGTGATCTTTTTTAGTTTTATCTTGGCGACCTAAACGTTTTTCCAAAGATAGCCAATAATTCTGTTATATTATGAAACATACTTCGCTTATCAAAACTCTCGCCGTTGGAGGCCATTGTAATGATGACAAATCAGATACGCGCAAATGTTTATGAGTTTTTATTAGCTCTAAATGGAATACAAATATTTCAGTTGTAATGATAATCGAGAAGTGACTGTAACACTCTTCTTGATCTCCTAGTCTGAGAGGGGAAATGTAACTTTCAATGGCACATTCCAATGGAAGCGTATCGATTCTTAGCCAAATTTTGCCTTCAAGATATAGCTCTATTGAATTAGTTTAACTATTTGTGACAAATTGGATATTGATAAGATGAAAAAAACGGCCTACAGATGGAATGTTTTGGTACATGTTTTGGGCAGTTGGTTTTCACACTGAATAAAATCGAAAACCAGTCGAGAATAGAACTGGTTACCCCGGCTAGCGCTATTGATTTTGTGAAACACGATCTGAAAGAGAGTGTTGAAGTGTGTAGGGGCAGAAATTTGGACCCACCCCCCCTCCCCCCCACAGACGTTACAGACGCTGGGAAAATCCCACCACAGACCGTGACCGACAGGCCAAAAATTCCATCACCGACGTTACAGACGCCGTGAAAACCCCATCACAGACCCTGACCGATAGGCCAAAAATTGCATCAGAGACGTTACAGACGCCCTCAAAATCCTCATCACAGACGTTACAGACGCTGGAAAACCCCATCACAGACGTTACAGACAGGCCCAAAAACCAGTCAAATACCGTTGTAAACAAGCGCAAAAGCTCTGTGACAAACCGTTACCGACTGGCCTTGACTGTTACTCACTGTTTTCTGTAAAAGGTGTACCTAAAAAGTGAAGAGAGAGAGAGAGAGACAGGTTGTTATGTGAAAAGGCAAATAAACTCTATATCTTTGTCTGACAGACAGGGTGACTCTCAACTTCGTTACGTCGACCCACGTAGATCTCACCGTCAGCACAGATCGGGATCGATTAATGGAAGCGCAATAAGAAGCATCACATATTGTGACCGATGAAACGAAGATCTTTTAACAAGCAGCGGACATCACTATTGACAATGATATGTTATTTTCAACAGCTTAAGTTTAAATAAATAGGAATGCACACTGGGATGTAAATTGACCATTCTATGTGTTGAAAGTTTCTCCAGTTGGATCGTGTTTCACATTTTTAATCCCGTTAGGGATTGCGCTGAAAGCTTTTCATCTAATAAAGATTTACATGTTATTTCTTTATAAAAATCACTCTGTTTCCTCTTGCTTTTGATATTTTGTTTTCTTTTATTTTTGCATTTTATTTGATTACAAAACAAAAAATCAATCAAATATTATATATAACTTTTCCATAGACGGCGGAGCATCGTCGGTTTGGGAGAAACTCGAAAAATTGAAATGATTACCGAACACTCTAAAAAAAATCCGGCGTTTAATTAACCCTCAAAAAGGGTTTATGACTGAAAAATTTGTTCATCAACCTGATCTACCCCTAGATCAACCCTTTTTTCTTCAAAAACCCACGAAGGGTTTGTTATACGTTGCAAACTGATAAACCCNACACAGTGCGAGACACTCATTGAAGACATCGACTGTTTTGGGATAGCAGTCGATGACCGCGGATTTCTTTATGTAGTTGACTCTGTCAAGGGTCAAGTGACCAGATGGCCATTGAGGGGGGTCAGCGGTCTATTAAAACTAGGTGTGCATGGTAAAGTGGTTGCCGGTGGTAATGGTTGTGGTAATTGTAGTGATCAACTCAACAATCCGTCATACATCGTTGTTGACCAAGATTATTCAATCATTATCTCAGATACTGGAAACCATCGTATCATGATATGGTTCGAAGGTTTTTCATCAGGAAAAACGCTCGCTGGTGGCGGAGGAAGAGGAAATAAACTGGATCAATTAAGTTCTCCTCAAGGAATAACTTTTGACAATTTCGGTCGTGTGTACATAGCAGACGCTGGTAATAGTCGAGTAGTGCGTTGGACTCCAGGCGCTACAGAAGGAGAAATACTTGTGGATAGTTCTGCAAGTAAAGATGAGTTTAACCAAGTGACTGATCCTCGTGATTTCGCATGGGACAATGAAGGCCATCTCTATGTAGCGGATGCCAAAATTGGACGAATTTTAAAATTTAAAATAGATGATTCTTGAAAACATGTTTCGTTTTAACCTTTTGTTGTGTTTTATATTTAAGATTACTCCGAGATAAAACGTAAATCATCAAGATATTTTTTCAATTCCATTTCTTGGTAACAAATCGTCTTTTTTTCTCTTGATGAGATTCATCAAAACAAATAACGCTTGCCATATGTGATTCTCTTGACTCAATTCTTTTCACATTGCTTTTTGGTTTCGATGAGCTCAAGGGTTAGTGTTCGTGACGGATCACTCGACTCCAAACGAGAGAATAATTTCTTACTTCAAATATGAAGTTGATAGCAAGCCGACTAATCGGCACCAACAGAGAAATTATTAGTCCGGGCACCCAGGACGAACGTTTCGGCCACCGGATCCGAACAGAAACAAAAAAAATACTGCAAACGCCAAACCGTTTCCCGCATATTTCCCAAAACCAAGAACCGCCCATAACTGCAACGAACCCATCTGAACCCGAGAAACGTAACCTACCGTGAACAAACATAAAACTACAAATCCCATCTTTTCCAATTTCTTTCTGGCGTCACTATCGACCTTCCAGCGAAAAACTGACCCAAAAAATACCAAAACGAGACCCAGCAGTTTGAGGATTGCTAATCCGATTGCAATCCTTAGCGAAAAAGTCAGTCGGAGATGTATAAGTATATTATTCACGTGAAGCTAGTTGCAGATCCTGGGAAGGCTTGTACTGGTTTGTGTTTTTGCTGATATGAATATGGATTCTGATAGTACCAGATCGTGGGTTTTTGTTAGTATGGGGTCTTATCTTGTTTTGGCGTTCGACTGGTGCTTTTAGTGATTATTTCGGATTTCCCTACTTTTCCGTTTGAATCCGTTCTAGAATCCTGCTTCCATGAAATGTACGGAAAAATCTGGCATCGGGCGGTTCCTGGCCGGACTTTTTGACATGGGGCAGATTCAAAAATTATAGAGTCCGACGGTTTCCATTTCCCATCTTCACCGTTACCCTCAAGATGGAGCTTATTGAGGACCCTCTGGCATGTTCCGAGAATCTCGAGAGAACTGCGTAAAAATGATGCATAAATGCTCTTAATCCTGAGTCCCGGCTCTAAAAAATTTTTTCAGTTCTTGAACAGCGCTTTTTTCGTAAAATTTTCTGGATACCGATCGCACCTGTTTAGGTTTCGATTTATGTACTAATCTATTTTTCTCGGATTCCTATGTTCACCGACGCACGATCCAATGAAATCATACTAGCTAGAATGAGCTTAGCCATCCATGTAGAAGAGAGATATGTGCGCCAATCCGACCGCTGCATTCTACCGAATCTGTTTCGATGATTTTTCTTATTTTACGACTCTAGAAATTCTCGTTCGCCTCAAAGAAAAATTGACTATTTGGCTGTAGTTAGCCACAAAATATTAGAAAAACAAAACAGAAGAATTTGTTTCTGTCGCAGCTCGCAGAAGAGGATCCTAACTTTTTCCTGTTGAGGCCAACTTTTATAATCAAAAGAACAATCATAACTTTCGTTAGAGTCCTGAGTTCTTTTATTCAGCGAATTTTCCTGTTTTATCATAGCAGTTATCACATTTTTTTAACTCACAAAAGAGGCTGATCCGATAAAAAGTGAAGCGCAAACTTTTTTGTACAAGGTAAATTTCAGTTTTATAGAGAGAATGTAGAACTATGCATATGCCAGGAAAGTCTCACTCAAACAGGTTTTGTTTCAAGACATGTTGTTGAACATGCTATGATTCGATAAGATGGAATACCTAACACATAGGCACTGACTGCAAAACAATGAGTGTATGACACATAAAACCAAAGCGCAGAAACTTTGACTCTTATATACTCCGTACTATCTTGTTCAATAAATTAAGTTCTATTCCTTTTTTATATAAGCGATAAAATAATAAGCCCTTGCTCCACCACAAAGATTCGAATCTACAGTCGGTTGGAACTGATTATTTCTCCAGTAATATTATACTGGAAACTTTGGAAGTGTCACTTCTAGACGGATGCATCCAATTAGTTGGAAATATTCGATTTCTGCTTCTGATTTATTACTTGCAGATTTTCTTACATCTTGTCTATTCAATGAAGTTACTCACCTTTTTCTACGTTTCATGGCGTTAAAAAGTTTACTTTTCACTTTTGAATGTATAGACATTATCGAAAGCTGTTAACATTCATGTACGGATTCGAAAAAGTTTATACAATTCCTAGAAAGTTTTGAAGTGTAACATCGTTTGTCGATATTTGGATACGTAAAACTATTTAATGTTATAACGAACTTCGAAATGAAATGACATCCAGTGTCCTAATACAAATCGAATTCATTTTGTGGAATCTGTCCCATAAGTAAACGTCCAAGTCGACGAATGATACTTGGCTTGCGCGATTCCGGTCGTGTTTGTGGTTCGAGTTGTGGTTGATATGATGTTGAAGTCCAGTCTTGGGTAGTTGCTTCCGCAGACGGTACAAAGAATCTTGCAATTCTTCGCCACCGTCCTCTCCGTGTCTTCACATACGTGGTGTTTTCGGCCGGCATGTTGTAGTTGAGGACGTTTCTTTGCTCACAATCTGTGCTGCCCGGTGTGGCTCCATGTGGTTCGGCGTTAGTGTTAATTAGTGGATGAGGGCGGGCACCTTTTATCTCTGTTATGTTGCTAACAGATTTAGATCTCTGTTTTCGTAAAACATTTGGTCGCGAATGCCCACCCTCACCGTCGTCGCTTGCCGTTTCCTCCCACATGGAACCACGGGCAGCACGTCGACGTTTGTATTCTAGAGCCTCTTCTTCTTTTCGCCGGCGCATATAATCCTTGAGGGGTTCGCCAACAGCTGGAGTGTCCACAATAGCACCTCGAGATGGATGCGTCATGGATGCGTCGGATCCAGATAATGTCTCTGAGTGGCGGCCGCTCTCCACCGGAAATCGCTCTCGGCTCTCTTCGTTTTCTTCCGTGATTTCTGTAGATGTTATTTCTAGTATGATGGATTTTGGCGTGTGAACATGTTGGCTCTCATCCGCCGATGCATCTAAACATCGAGAAGAGTTTTCGAAAGCATTGCTACAAACCTTGTCTCTATTACCCACCGTGTGGAAACGGTGCTTTTGAACCAGTACCACGCTGAATTTCCGCGCCGCGCGCTTTAAATTCATTGAATTGCGCCACTACGGCTCGTTGTGCTTTCAATATTTTAATTTCGCTTCCATCAGCTTTTTTATCCTTAATAGAAGTGTTATCAGATGTGATTATAAGTGATTCGCTATCAGCATTTTACCGTGATTCCAGGAATAAATCGTTCTACTGGCTCTTTTTCAATTTTATCTGGGCAACCTAAACGTTTTTTCAAAGATAGCCGATAATTTTGTTATATCGTGGAACATACTTGGCTTATCACAGCTGTCGGCGCTGGAGGTCATTACAATGTGGGTGACAAATCAAGTATGTGTAAATATTTCGGAGTTTTTATTAGCTCTAAATGCAATACAAAAATTTTAGCTGTAATGATAATCAAGAAGTGGCTGTAACACCCTTCTTGATCTACTAGTCTGAGAGGGAAAATGTAACTTTCTATGGTACATTTCAATGGATACGCAGCGATTCCTAGCCGGATTTTACTTTGAAGATACAGTTCTATCGAATTAGTTTAACTATTCTTGACGAATTAGACATTGATAAGATGAAAAAATGGCCTACAAATGGAATCGTTTGATACATGTTTTCGGCGGTTGGTTTCCACACTGAATAAAATCGAAAACAAGTCTAGAATAGGACTAGTTACCTCGACAAGCGCCATTGAATTTTTAGAATATTGTCAAAAAGCTAGACTTGCATCCACTTGTCTTCATTCTACTACAATGTATTGAGAAAATATCTTCAGCTGAAACTATCATATAAACACATAGAGGGCCATGTGCTACTTCTATTAATATCTATCAGGAATGTTTTTGTTTCAAATCAGTGTTTGCACTCGAATTTCTACTATCAATAGTGTGCCAGTGAGCATCATAGGATCAAAATTTTACAAGTCGAAACTCGTTGTTTCGAACTCGAAAAATAGTTAGTTCTCAACTATTTTGAATCTCCAATTGAATATCTCTATGGAAACGCTTTTAGATGAATATATCATGTAGATCAATCGTGTAGAGCAGTATTATTTATGAGAAGAAAAACCTAATATTGCTGAACTTAACTATTCATCGTCAACAATTTTGCTTAGAAAAAGCCATTTGTGGGAACGATTTTCCTTGTGATGGAAGAAAGTTATTACGATGCGCATAGAGACTATCGAGCGCTTTCCCGTTCCTAGTTTGCTTTCTACTTATAGGATATTTATATACGACTTTGATAGCAGAATAGCAGCGATTTGCACTACCAAAGGTGAGTACAAGAAAAGCATTTGCCACATCGGGTATCAAACAGAATGATGAATGGATTTCTTGAATTGTATTTCGTCTGGTGTAGTAATTAATACATTTTTAACGGTATTTGTTAACATTTGCATCATTCTTTGAACATTAGAATTATCAACATTTAAAAGTGCCACATTTGAAAAAATTAAAAAGAACTGGCAAACCTTGAGTCAACCATATACATAGATATTGACCTCTATTATTCTTGTGTGGTTTCGAGGACTTTCAATATAAGAGTATCTGGTCTGTATTTTCGTTATAAACATGAATTTACTGTACTGAATTGGTTTTCCTCCTCATGTATATTCGTGCGTTTCGCAATAAGTCGTAGTATTTTCAATTTGTTATCAAATGCATAGCGAATTAAATATGTACGTTACGATTGCTCATTCTCAATCATATTTGATAACTCAAGAACATATGGCTAAGGCACAATTGAGAGACTGCTGGTTTTTAACCCATACGAGTATTTTCCTTGCTAGGAAAAGTGATACTTGATTTCTTCTGGCATAATTTCGAACGAATGGATGTAAATTCCAAGTTTTATGACGAGGTGTTTCGGTCATGTTTTCAAAAGACAGTTGCTCATGTCGGTTTCAGTATTACGTTATCACCTCTTTCTACTCTATCAATGCACACCTTCTCTTTGTATTCTCTTGCATGACTCTTTCACTTTCGAAGACATTCAAATATTATTCAATCGATGATAGCTGTATGCAGTTCAAACTTCCAAACGACTTGACTTTTACAATCGGAATCATTGAAAATTAGTTATATGTAGTAGTCCAAAGCTGGCGTGGTCATAATACGTGCTATGTGTTGTTTTTCTTTCACATTTATTTGCGGATTTCTGTAAGCTGAAGAAGACGAGTAGATAATATAGCGTTTACAGAAAGAGACCACGTGTTCATCATACTATTATGGATATACGAAACTCAACGAAATGAGTAGAATATATATTAGAATGAAAATATACCACTGCGACACTCACAGTGCTTAGTAAATAAACATATACACTCTATTTTTACCTATCGCTTATGTTTCTGTTTTCTTATTCCTCAACACATTTTCGGTGGTGTCTTGATATGCAACAGTATGCCTGTATCTCGCTTCGTTTACAATACGTCGTGGATTTCCTTCTTTTGCGATGGCCGTGTGACGAATTATGAGAGTGATTGTCTATGTCTTGCGACATGATGGTGTGTTGTGTCATCTACAC